GATGCTAGGGAATTTTCTCCAAGATTGGTTTATACTCTTTTCAAACCTGTAGCCAACAACAAATGAAAACTATCATTTCTACAAAATACCTCAACAATAAAGCCATAAGCATGCCTTGCCATCCCAATATGGTCAATAACAGTACCTTCAGGGAAAATGTCTTGCATACACACAAAAGAGATTCTCAGTAAATTTATTAAGAATATTAATTAAACTCAACATTCAAAGCCTCACAAAGACACAACACATCAGTCATTGTTGCAGTCATTTTAATAGGCATTCAAGGACACTTCTAAAATCTCCATTTTATAATGGAAAATATAAGGCATAAAGGAGACATGGTGCTGTTTGACTTCCTCTGTAAATATGACACAAAGTTAAGGTTCTCTGCCTAGCATCTAGAATGTTGCTGGATCATGCACTCTTGGAAAATATAACAACACATCAACCGTGACACTCGTACCATAAGAGACAAAACCAGGGCAGGGTAAACTGTGATACAACCAACAGTTCTCTCTCCCCTTTTCCCCACAGCATCCAGTGTGCCCTCCAAGTGAGAAGGGGAGACTTTAAAGAACTTAGCTCAGGAGAGGTGACCTACTCTTACCCACTGGTGTGACCTGCCATCTGTCCTTGAAGGACCTGCCTCTAACCTCCAGCTGATGAAGAGATTCCAAATTCTCTGCAGGTGAGACCATGGTTCCCTAGCCAGATGTGTTTCTACTTCCTGCTCCTCCCTACCCCCTCGCTGGTTACTGACAAGCAGCAAAATGGAATTTTTCTTCTCTCAGCTTGACTGCTATTGGAGATACAACCAGTTAGCGACAATGGAATTACCAAAAGCTTGACACTAGAAAGGTGCAATGAAAGGTAAAATAATCACTAACTTGATATTTAATAACTAGAAATATTACTGAGAGATTTTTGTACTTTTTGGAAGGGATATAAGGATCCTAATTAGGAGTGAGGAATTGTTAGTATAATGTTATATCATAAGATCAATACTTACCTGTCTGAAAACAAATTATTATTTTACATTTCTTTCTTTTTTTTTAAAAGCAGGATTTATTGAGAGGACAGAAAAGTTCCCATAGTGGGAGGAAACCTGAAAGGGTTGCCCATAATTTTACACTTCTTAATCAATTAAAGAAAGTTCAATCTTTAGATACATGAGGAAGGGGACCTCATTCAAAAGCAGTCAAATGTTCGCCACATTTTTCATGAAGTGAATGGATCTGATCAGCTTCTGCAGGATCACCCTCCCCCTTTTTTCCCAATTGTAGCACCCTCCTGGTCTCACAAAACAATCTGTGCCCAAGTTTCTGACACAAAGCGACTGGGACATGGGGAATTGAACATTGGGTATAATGTCTTCAGCTTGCAACCGACTGGTACTTAAGCTGTACTGCAGCACAGCTTTGTTTGGTATTAGAAATTCAACTTCAGATGTGCTAGGAAAATCTCAAACTGTGTCAAGTCCAGACAATGAATATCTTATAAATATTATGACAGCCAGCTTAATATTATCATACACAAGAAATTCAGTAGAAAACAGAAGAGAAAGTGAAAGCTAAGACAAACTAGAGGAGTCATAAAAGGACAGAAAAAAGTAACTAGCCAAAAAAAAAAAAATGAAGGCAATTAGCTAGAAGCCAAGAAAGCAGTGATTCCTGCAATGACACTAGTGGTAACTAAAACCTAAGGAAGCAAAAAACCCTCTGGTGGGAGTAGGTGAGAGTAGGGATGGAGTAAGAGTAGGGATACATGGTAAAAGCTGTTTTATTACATGTGTCTCAAGAGAAGATAACTGTAGGTTGGGAAAAAACTCATTTTAGCTCAAGTTCTTTGCATAAAGACCTCCCAGTCTCAGAAACCTCAACAACCCACCAAACTCTTTCCCTTCTAATAATCACTCTACTAATCTATTAAATCATTAATATCCCACTAAATGTGGCCCCTCTTCAAAGCAAACTGCCTACATACTCTACAGCCCACGCTCTCTGTCCTCATAAATAGAATCATTATCTAGTTATGGCAAATATTTGATATTCCAGAAGAAAATGACTGTAGTGCTCAAGAGGATGAACAATATAACCTTGTAAAATAACTTTTTTGGAGAACTTGAAGAAAAAAGTTATACAGTAAGTCTCCTACATACAAATAAGTTCTGTTCTGAGAGAGCCTTTGTAAGTTCAATTTGTTCATTAAGTTCAACAAAGACTAGGTACCCAATTAACACACTTGGCTATATAATACTGTACTGTAGGTTTGTAAATACTTTTCACACAAATAATACATAAAAAACAAACACAAGCACTGTACTCTATACAGTGTAATACACAAAAACACAACCAGTTTTGAGGATGCATACATGTGACAATGTATGCCAGATACGTGAACTCATTTATGTGACTGGACATGTGAATGCATATTTGCATTTTTGAAAGTTCACAACCTGAAGGTTCATATGTAGGGGATTTGCTGTATTGAATTTGGGAACTAGAAGATAGTTAATTCCTGGCATGTGTTCAAGGTGGCCTACCTTATTTCAGGTCTACTACTTTCAAAACAATTCTCTCATCTGTTGGATCTAGAAAGTTCTAAACACATTAAGAAGGAGGTTTTACATATATTTATTTCACATAAATTTAACCCTTCTGAGGCTGACATTTCTAAGCCAGCAAAAAGCTTTCCAAAGCACTTGAGTAGCTGAAGTTCAATCAGAGACCTTAAATTACATCTGTCTCCCTGCACAGGGGATCTGAAGTGTTTTGATCAAGCAGGAAAAGAGAGTAAGATGGCAGACTAGAAGAATGGTTACCAATTTCAGAGCTGCACACAGTTAGGTTTAACCCCAACAGACTCCTTTGCCAGATGTGTGACTACGGGAAAGTGACTTTTCTTCTCTATGCATCACCTATAGATGGTAATAATAATGGTAGTATCTCACGGGCTGCTGTGCAGATTAAATGAGGCAACACATGCAAAGCACATGGTAGAGTGGCTGACTCATCCTAAATGGTCAATAAATGTTAACTGCATACAGACGAGTTCAGTGATTAGTTGTTGGCTGATTGATCATAATATATGTGGTGGTCCTAACACAATCAGTATGTCCCAGAGAAAAAAGCAGGAATAAAAATTTGATCTTGATACTTACTAATCTTCTGTTTTTAGTTTTCTAAAAAGGAAAATAAGGAAATTAAAACTGTTAAATATTATACAAGAGATTAAAAAGATCTGTAATCATTTTTGTGTTCTGGATAAAATGATATCTAATAAGTAGAAAATTATATTAAAATATGCATTTCTGAGAAGCAAGTGGAGGCTTGCTGGATATCTGATGGATATCCCTTACTACCTTAAGGCACAGCTCTACATGAGCTGGGGTAACCACCCCAGGGAGGGCCCTGAGAGCAATAAACATTTACAAAAAGCTGCAATTTTTTTAAAGAGGCAATTTGTTTTCTGCTAGTGGCAAGACCTGGGGTGACACCATTTTATGTGACTTAAAACTAATCTGTGCCTGGAATTAAACACATAGCCTGGCTAGATAACCAATTTGACAACTTTTCCCCTAATCATCCATTTCTGTACAATTGAGCAGACCAGGACATAAAAGGTATAATATTCTTTGCTCCTGAGGATGCTGGAATTAGGGGGAGAAACAAATTAAGTGAAATGATTTGCCCAGATTTTACTGTAATAACAACTATGACATATTCATATCTCTGCACTGCACTAAGCAATGAATTGTAGACAAATATCAATTGAGTTGATTTCTGAAACCCTTCAACTATCATAGTACTAAATTACAGTGCTTACTATGTGGCAAATACTCTTCTACATGCTTTGCATATGCAAATTTATTTAGTCCTCACAGGTTTTAATATCATCTTCATTTTATGGATGAGAAAACCAAGACACAAAGAAATGACTTCCCCTGGAGCACAGAAGAGTAGAATCAGGATTTGAACCAAAGCATTCTGGCTCCAAGGTTTTTGCTCTTTTAATTAACATGCTATATTGTAGGTCCATATGTCAGCCAGCACAAATCTTTGCAATTATTGTTTGTTCAAATTAATTTCATATCTAATTTACATATTTGCACAAATTAATTTTTTTCACCTTCACGTAAAACCATTAATTTGAAAAACATTAATTTTAAGTTTAAGCACTCACTATAGCTCATGATTCAGTGCATGGCTAAGAATATTCTGTCAAAATACCTAAAACACTCTAGTATGTCAACAAACATTTTTGGCAATGAGCCAATTAGTAAATATTTGAGGCTTGCATGTACTACCACCTCTGTAGGTACTACACATCTCTGCCTCTGTAGCACAAAAGTGGCCACAGACTTTGTGTAGATGGTGATTTCAAACTTTATTACAGACAAGACACAGGCCAGATTTAACCTGAGGGCCTTCATTTGCTCACCCTGCTCTAAATAAAGATATATACATACAAATAAGAACTCAACTGTGGTGAAATTAGACTGACTGAGTTTTTAGAAGCAAGCTGCTTTAAATAACTTATTTGGTTTAAAGCAGTCGTTATCAATCAGCAGCAACTGTGCCCCCCAGGGCAATGCCTGGAAACATTTTTTTTTGGTTGTCACTACCAGGGGAAAGCTACTGGCATCTGGTAGGCAGAAGCCAAGGATGCCGGGACATATCCTTTGACACACAGAACCACCCTCCACACAATGCATGGGTGGCCCAAAGTATCAACAGTGCCAAGACTGAAAAATTTTGATTTTAAGAAATTAATGTTCCAAGTAGATTTTCCTCTTTATTCTCTGCTTACTCATTTATGGAGTCATCTGCCAGTCTCAATGTCCTTTTCTACTCACAGTTCTTAAATTATTTTCTTCACTCATATGATAGGGCACCACCCACCAGTTGTATAACTTTGACATGACTAAAAATAAATTGGTATATGGGCACTGCTGTGAATACTATACTTAGGTACAGTTTTGGGTGGAGGTGGAGACATACTTTAGCTCCATCTGCAGGATCAGGTAACATGGATGAAAAAGTCCCACACAAGTTCACAGAACTTCCTCCACTGAAATTCAAATGAGGTCCACAACCATCAGTCCTGAATGTAGCTTTCACAGAAGGCGATCCTTTGGATACATGCACCTGCTCCATTCTCACAGTATCAGGACCACTGGTATATGTGGACTTTTGGCAGAATCAAGAACCCATGAGTATTCCTAGGTCACACTTTTAGCTTTTTCAGTTCTCATCAAGTTGGCTTCATTATAACCGGAAGCAGATATACTGCCCATTTAGGAAAGATATGAAATAGAGTGGCTCAAATGAAATCCTTTCTTCCATCCAATTTCCTGGTCTTATCACTCAACAGTACAAAGAAACTGACTCCTCTCTTCTTTAAACGTAGAGACATTAAACGAAAAGTATTATTTCATTCTCTCCTGTAGTATTTGAAAAAAAGTAACATTTCAATTCAGAGAATGTCTTAAGCATATTCCTAATGTGTTATTAATCTAGCACAGTTTGTTCCCAGCACGAAAAAGTTTATTTAGGGACAGCCTACCTTGAATTACCAAAAATGCAGACAAATCCTTTGACAATGCAATGATTTGAGGCCCCTATATCTTACACTCAGTATATAGTAATCCGAATTTTCCATTTCTGACAATCTTTTTTGCTTTATAAAACAGATGTTCTGTGTGTATGTGTATGTGTAAATGTGTGTATTTGTGTGTGTGTCAGTACTTGACTTTCTATGGTCTCTTTGAGACATACTGAGGTTGAAATTTGTATTACCCTGAAATACATAAAGTTCTAAGACCTACATCCATGATAATATGAGATACCATTATAATAGAAAATACTGTATCTTTTTCAAAAACATATTTAATAAAATGATACTTTCAGAATACAAAACATGATAAAACACATGACATTTACATTTCAGTGAATACTTAAGTAACAAAAACATAGTTTTTGGAAAGGATGACAACTTGACTCACTTCTGGACTTATTTTGACATTTTGGACATGATCATCCAATTGAACTTAACTCTGGCATATACTGAATAGGTTAATTTCTGGATGGGTTATTCCTTCTATCTCTGTCAACAGAGAGCTATGTTGCCACCTCTATATTCCTTCCATCATTTTCTTTGAAGGAAATACATCTTTATTTGTACAAAATGCATTACTCATAGTGATTAAGAAGTAAAACTAAGCAAAAATGCCTGAATGAACAATAGTTCTATAGATTAGGCATTTCTTTGTTTTCTTGTAGTCTCATACAATACAATAGTTCACCTCTCAACACCATGGTATCAGGAACCTTTCATTATCATGAATGACAAATAGGAGTACTGCTTAGCATATTATGAGTTAGCAGCAGCACCCTGGTTTAAGAGACATAGTATGGTTAAAAAAATACTCAAGAGTAACATCTTTAAATGTAAACTGAAAGCTTTTGCTTTAACCATTAATTGGTCCTTCATTGTTTAGAAAGATCAGTCAAATCAACCATGGAGGTCAATACAGTGACAGATGTCATAGGAAGAATTTTTGATTGTGGGGTAGCTCTTGTCAAACTTGAAAGTGAGGCAAGGTTAAATCAGGTAAAGGCTAAATTTATTAAGCTAAATACATTTGATTCAATGGAAATTTTAACTTACTCTGGCAGTAAAACTATAAAACAGCATAAGGAGTTGCCTTAGGCTGAAAGAAAACATCATGCCCTTTACAGAAAGCACCAAGGTGGCTGGCATGCAGCTCCAGGGTGGGACTTTTGTATGAAAAAGGAGGTCAACAAACTGAAATGGAGGAAGATTAACACACACTTTGATTTAGACATACAGTGCCTCAAAGAGTAGCAGAGATGAATTGCCTTGCCTTAATCTGGTGGCTTAAAACATTTCTTCCTTCAATTTTCTGGGAAAGCTCTGCAGGGAAAGGTGAATGCTTTCCTTATTCCTTTTCCCTTTAGGGGATATGAAAGTGGCTACAAAAGGCTGCAATGTAACTCTTTGAAGTGGGAAGAGTTAAAAAGCAAGGATTAAGCTGGAAGGCTTTCCTTTCCTATGGAAGAAGAGTGATGAGGTGGCAGCACCAAAACAGCCTGTCCTCTGAAGACTCTGACCCAAGTTGGTGCGGTCTATTTGCTTTCTCTGCTGTGTCATCTTTCTCAATTAGAAAGCAGCCGGCCCTTCTGGCAGAGCAATTCTCTTTCTCCAAGGTATACCCTGAAGGGTGTGAACCCTAGCCCCTAAGAATGGCTCCACATTTCCATGGAGATTAGGCAGGCAGCTCTGTCACCAGAGGCACAGAAATCTTGGCAACATGTCTAGCTCCTTCAAATTTGGTATAAAGCTAAAGGAACCACTGGGATCCAAAATTGGGCTGACTGCCCTCATATTAACAGGAAATTATAATGCCTCTGATCTGAACTAGTAGAAACTGTTCAGTAGAGTGCTACCACTTGGTCTTACATCAAGGCTATGGTGGAAGTGGTGGAAGTAAAATAGAGGGGCTTGGGCAAGGTTACAGAAGAGAAGAATTCCTGAAGGATAATCTTGTGGTATATATCATATCAACGGTTTAGGCCTCAACGTACTTAAGCATGACCTATACATGGCCATCAATTGACAGAAGTGACACCTATAACCAGAGGACAGACACTATGCCACTCAGCCACAATCGAGGCATCAGCAAGGCAGTCAGTAATTCCCAAACTGAAGATTATTAGACTTGCCATAATCCTAAAGAGTTCACTGGAGAATCTCAAGTTTCACCTTGAACAGAACCTCCATGCTAGACTCAGGCAAATCATGGGCAACTCACAGCATTATCAACCAAGGGCACTGGCAAAGATTGTTGCACAAGCCAGTCAGGTGGACCTTTCCAGTTACAGACACTTGCAGGCGAATGCAACTTTGTACTAGTCATAAATTTGCCAGTTCATTCAAGTCATTCAAGAGTATACATAGATGAGATCAGATGCTTTGCAGACAAATGGCATTAAAGAATATAACAATCTACAGCTCACTGTCAGCCATAAGGATTCCGTGACATACTCAATTTTTGAATGGTTGAAGAATTCAGAGATGTGAATATCCTTCTACAAAAATACCACTAACTCATTAATATAAATTTCCAGATTCTTCCTTCACACCACCAATAATGCCCCCATTTAGCTTAATGTACACTCATCAACTAGCTTAAAGTCACCTGCAAAGTTGAACTTCCTTCATTCCTCTACAAATACTCTCAAATTTCTTGAGGCCTCAGTAAAGAACTTTCTCAAGCCTCCCCCCGCCCCCAAGGGGGGAGAGTAATATGTAATGTCAACTATACATTTCAGTTTTCAATGCTTTAAACCTAGTCCCAGAGTTACTAATCAGACTGCATCCTTTTCTTGGCTCTGACTTCTCAAATTTCAAGCTCTGCCACCAATCCAGCCAGCTGATGAGAAGGCAGAACACAGGATGCAGGGAGAGAGAAAAGAAGGACCATCTTCATAGCTCCTCACTGGTCTCTTACCTTCAGTCATTCTTTCCTTATTTTATCCATCCTCAATAACACCAAATGAGTATTTCCAAAAACCTCCATTTTCATTTTTTTCTACTTTTCCTTTATCAGCATATTCTAATCTTTCTAAATGAACATATAAAAATTATATTTAAAAGCCAAAAGAAGAACTCACCTTTTATTATTTTATTCCCAAAATACAGTCCAAACATCCAGTCCTACAACATCCAGCCCCTACTGCCTTTCCAGTCTAATCATTCATTCATCTTCTACAATGAACCTTGCACTCCAAATACAATGATTGATTCACATTCCTTGAAAAAGAACAGGAAACATATTCTTTTCCACTTGTACACTTTCACTCTCACTTCTTAACAGCAATATAGTCCCTAAATCCTTCCCTTATCAACATCATCTTCACCCATATCTCCACCCATCACCTTTGATGCTATTTACATGTACTGCAAACCTAAGTGATCTTTTTTCTCTCCTCAAAACTCCTCCCCAAAGTGAAAGTTGACACTTACAACTTACCACCATGAATTATTAGCTATGTTCTTATGTATACTAACTATATCTTCACTAATCATGTTAAACATTATTAAAGAAAAGGAGCATATCTTATATTTTTCCTCTTGGCACATAATAAATGCTCAATAAATGTTTCTTGAATGAATCCCAAAACATAATACAACATTTTACATATAATCAAGCCAGATGGTCAATACTTAATGTTTACATAATTAAGAGAAATGACTGTAATGGCTTTTTCCAGAAATATAATGAAGGTTCTTCTTTCTATATGTTAAGCAATTAGGGAGTGTTTTAAAGCTTAAAGAATGTTAATATTACTCCAGATTGGGTTATGCAGTGATGAATAACAGTTAAAATTGAGTATGAACAGTAATACTTGTAATCCTTATCAAAGAGGTCTAAATATGCAATACATTCAGTTTATTTAATGTGTATATCATTACTATTTAACTCGAAGAAAGAATTCTGATGTATACAGAGAATACAACGTGAAGAATACTTGCTCTTTTCTATTTCACAAGAGAAGCCTGTTAGGACATGCTGCAAAGCCACACTCCAGGCATTTTTCTATTCATTCTAAATGCTGGAAACCTAATTCAGGAGCAATCCCCTGCATGCTGGCCATGAAAACTCCAAGTGGAAGCTAAAGTACAACAATGTAAAAAAGATTAAGAAACTACCACCATTTGTTATTTCCCCAAGTTATCAAGCACCAAAAAGAAAACATGGCCTGTCACTTAGTTCCAGAAGCCTGGAACTGTCATGATTTGCTAACTTTTAGAAGCACAGCGCGAAACATGTTATCAGCTAAATTTAAAGAGAATTTTCATTTTCTTCCTTTAAAACAAAAATGATCTGTGGTAAGATATGTGACACACCCCATCCCTGCAAATGTTTTATTTTCGCCGAAAATAAAGTAGCTCTTTAATTTAGAGGGAAAATGTTAATTTTAAACTTCTAGGAATGCACTTTGCCTGAAAGTAAGAGAAATTACTTAAAACACATACAAGATATCTTTTTAAAAAGGGAACATGACATGGGATTAGAGTTTAAATAGAAAACAAACAAATTCAACCTATGAAGTATATTATGCCATATTTT